CAGACTTTATAAAGCGAAAGTCATCTTATGTGAGTAAACTTGGAAGGCTACAAGCTTGAAATAAAGGAGAAAAGTTCACAATTTTCAATTTTACAAAGTTGGAACGGGCCGCAACCTTTGTAAATCGCAACAATAATATTCGCAAACTGCTGTTTACTTGGGTGCTTTTTTACGGCTGTTGATGCAAATAATCCTGTTACGGATAGGTGGTCAAAAGAACATGGTGTAGCGTAACAAGACCGAAATACAACCACAGTGATCACCATTCATCACTACTTCACTACTTGTGTGAAATTTAAACTTTGCCGCTACGTGTCAGGCTTTTAAATCTGTAATATTTCAGTCATTTTATGATCAATGTATTGTGTTTCTAACGCCGAACGGGAAAATGTTGGAGCCACAGTAATAGACTCTTTCAAGGTCAAGATGCCATAATGAAACACAAAGTGTAAGGGCTGCAAACACAATGGAAATTCCTACTAGTAAATTTGCAAGATTGTATAAACACAATGGTGAAAACAATAAAGCCTGCTACTGAAATAAAGCCTGCTACTGAGGTCAGTAAAAAGGATTGATGCACATGATTCGTACGCAAAATTCCCATTGGTCAGAAATAAATACAGTAGCTTTGTTTTTAAGGTAATACCAAATTGTTGTTTATGTAATAATATTCCGTGCTTGTAATTGTACTTTAACTACTTTTGGGCATGTTAATGACTGCCTTTGCTGCAGTCAATAACAGTTATTATTATTATTATTATTATTTAATATGTAATTCCTGGCCATTCGATGAAAATTGGAATATTTAGTTTTGAGATATTGGTGAAAAAGTTGGCCGTTATTGTCATATTTTAAATTAGCTTTGATAATCTAATGTATCAATTAATTCCAGCAGTTCCCACCCCTGGGCCTTTGCAGCTTTTCCTAATAACGGGGGTGGGGCTATTGCCGATATTTTTTAGCCCTGGGGTGAGGATTTTGACATTTTCCATCATGGGGGATTTCGTAGATTTGCTGGAAAACTGATATTTAATTTGATTGCAAATGGCTTGTGGACATAGCCATTTTCTTCCCAGAAATGGCTAATACCTCGGGGGGATGGGCACTGCTGGAATTGACTGATACATAATTAACAATCGCCATTTTGATTGGTTGTTATTTTTGTGCATCCCAATCACTGTCCACTTTTTATTGACTTCAGTGACAGGCTTACCCTGCGAGCAAAGTCCTCTCGTATTTCTTCTCAGCACAAGAGATACTCTGCAGCACTTGTGTATATTCTTTGTGGAGCCAACAATCCAAAAACTTGGATAATTATGAGTAATTTCAGGTTTGATACCAGTTTTATAGCCGGTTTTGATCCGAACCGGAAACTACTTATTAAATCTTCTTCTGGGAAATAGGCAGTTGCTTAGCAACCTTTGCGCATGCTCAAATGAATTTATACACAAGTTCTGCAGAGACTCTCTCGCTTCTCCGTGCCGTGAAGAAATACGAGAGGACTTTGCTTACAAGTTATAACAAGCTCTATTTCAAGCATCGAGCCTGACACGCAAGCTACCTTCAAAGGGCCTATTTGGCAACTTTTGTTGTGGTTACCCAGCCTGAGGCAAACGTAATAAATTATGAATTGTTATAAATGTTCTGTGAAGGGCACAAATATTTCCTGCAGTTAGGGACCAGTCCTTATTTATGAAAGAGGGAGGGGGAGGGGGCAAAAGGTGGGGCCATGACCCCACAAGTATAAATCATTTACTAGAAGGGGGGGGGCATTAAATTTTTTGAGAAAATCAGTTGAAGGGTCAAAATGTGGAGTTGCAATAAATTTATTTAAGCCTGGTTTCCAAGTGTCCTCGAAGTTGGCCTAAGCCAGATAAATCCAATAAATGATATCAACCTCGTACCCAGGGCTTCTACGCTTATACACTGCTCCCAGAAGAGAGAGCAATGAGCGCAGAAGACCTTATTTTAATAGCCCCAGCGACTAAACGCTCAACAGAGCGTCTTGTTAGCTATAAATTATGCAAAAATCATTGATTATGGGCTCCAGAAAATCTTAACTCGCGCCAAATACAGATTGATACCCGCAGGTTTTTCTTCAGATCTTCTGAAAATAAGTATAAATCATTACAGCCAAGCACATTTCAGCGTAATTTTAGGTCCCCATTTGGAGATCTCAGGCTTCGATTTTAGTGTAATTTTCTAGACCGAACAAGAAGCAAAAACCGGTGTGCCGTCAAGTCGCTGTCGTTTATTCACAATTTATTCAAATGCTCTTATTTTTTGGAACAGAGAACCTGAATTGTATCTTAACTTGTTGATCTAGTTGAAATTTGGAAATAGTCAGGCGTTTTGACACAGCGCGGCTCTACAATTTACCGAAATTCAACCTTCGATTTTGCTTGAAATTAGCTCTGCACGGGTGAAATGAGTTTCGGCGTCTAGCAAAGCCATAAAAAAGAATTTTCAAAAAATAAATTTATTTTGGACACTTGTATACCAATGCCTTTCAACACACAAAAAATAAAGGAAATCTATTTTCCGAAGTCAAAGTCATCGGACCGCTCTTAGCGGGACTGCCACTTAATGTAAACTTGGGGTTATTCAGGTACTCATATAAAGTCTATTATACCATTCTGATTATCATTAACCTTTAGCGGGAAATATTTAAATTTTCCGGAAATAAACACTAACGTGTGTGGCAATAATAGCCTGAAGTAAACTGAATGCTGAAGTACGAATGTAAAATCTATATATTAGAAGTTACTACAACTGAATTTCTGCATCGTCCTCAGCTTCCACAGTTTATAATATGCAAAATCGATAAACATGTCTTGTTTACATTTTGCATTGCGCGCAGGCAAATTTTGATCTTTGAATTTTGATACGCCTATAAGCATTATTAGACTTGTGGTTTGCATATTTGTCGGCTAGTATAAACATCACGTTTTCAACCGAGACTATCTCATCTGTGACTCACACAGTATTAGTAGTGCACAATATAATACAAACAGGGAATCTTTTAAACCAAATTCATACCTAATTGAATAATTTGAATGTGAACGTTTCTATCAGTTAAATGAACTGCGAATTAATAATATGTCTATATTTCGAATACCATTACGCACGAACTTATGACCTTTATACTAGCATATATCTCAATATTTATGGTATATTTTGATCTATTTTATAAAAAATTTGTACGTAATGTGTTCTCTTTTTAGTACATTTTATTTATGGTACAAAGCTTTCGGAAAGACGCGATGAATAATGCGTCAAAACCGCAGCAGTTATGTAAATAAATATAGAATATATAAGTTACGTCAAAGTATTCGACCGCAATCTATTTCCTGCTGTACAGGCTTCCTATATTGCATCATAACAGGCGCGGTTACCAAGCTCCCAAAGAAAGTGATCCCCAAAAAAATTTCTGCCCTCCGCAGGGGGATTCCATAGCGCGTAAGAAGGGCTCTGGGTACGAGAATGGATTCCATAGTATAGCTCAGTGGGGGGATTCCCCTAGCCTTGTTCAGGAAGCTAAAAATAGCATCAAAATGCCCGGATGAGAAATTCAATTTCGCGCCTGCAGAATTCAAGGCACGCGGTTTGGCATCTTTTTAAAATACTTCATTTAACTACAGGTAACAGGTTTTGCCTTACCCCTCAGAAAAAACGCAAAGATCAAAGGATGCCGATGCACACAACCCCTCAGAAATGAGTACAACATAGATATCCTATATTTAATCTCCTTCAATCCTCTCACATTTCTCACACCATCGAGTGCATTTGAGCAATCCTGTCATTATACACTTGGTGGTATGTGTTGGCAAGGTAGTAAAATGCTGCTTCAACATTCTGATTTTGTATCTAAGAAGAACAAAGAGTCAAGTTTAACCCATTGAGTGGCAGCATTCTCCCCTTGACAAGGAAAATAATCTGGCGTTAGACTGAGTAAAATAATAAAGTAGGGCACATCAGGGAGTTTGCCACTTAAAGGGTTAATATGGAAGAAATCAAACAAGTATAAATAATATTTGACAATCGAATACTAACAGCTGAAGTTTCAAAATATTCTAGACCATGTGATTCGGCAAGTTCTTTGCCTTGCTTCATTGAAACCACTCGTCGTTGTTTTAAATCTGTCTTGTTTGCAACCAAGACACCTAAACAGTTAGGAAATGCATTGGTATTGAATGAAAAAATTTCACATTGGTAAGATCGATGTAACTATCTGAAAAATACAAGGAGAACTTCAATGTTTCGGGAAGTTATAAGTAGCCAAATTTATGCATTCTGAAGGAAGTACCAACTTTATTACTTTCTAATGTTAGATATAAAATATATCAATCACCAATCATTTTATTTGGGTTTTTTTCTGCTGACATTTTTCAATCCATTTTGTGCAAGCGTTGAACGATTGATCGTTAGTAACATCATACACTGTCATTGCCAGATTAAGTATGTCCCACTAGAGAAAAAGAAACCAGTTAACCATAGGATGCTGGCGACACAGTGAATGTATCCGCAGGTCTCCATTACTGAAATACGGAATGCAATTGTTATACCAAGTAGCAATTATTGCTATGTTTACACTATAGGGATAGCTTTCCATTGCAGTGCTAAAAAGCACCTGTCCGATACAGAATGTACAACTTTCAGAAGCTGAGCAAAACAACATTTCTCTGTTGCAATAATTTCTCTGAAAATAGCGTTCTGAAAAGGTATGGATAGGTGTGTTTTTATGTCGCTATACGGAATGCTATCTGGTACAGTGTATGCATACATAGCCTATATTATCTTGAATACAGACTTACAGATTGTTCTACCAAGTCAGTGAATATTTCTTGTCCAGCAGAATCGTAAAGATAAAATTCCTGAAAAAAGGTAGGTAAAAAACGGCAAATTATATACTAAATCACATGCCAGTTGAAAACATAACTGGTTACTAGATAATGATGTTGACTAGCAAATCTTACCACACTATCATTTGTCTCTTGAATGTTCACAACTTTTGTATGCAAGTCAACTCCAGCAGTCTGAGAAAAATAAAACAAATATACAGAAAATGTCATGAGTGCACGCCATGGGTGATACAAACTTGCCACACTGGCAGGCCTTTAGCCATGATCCTAAAAGAGGGCATCCAATTTTGGTACAACGATACATCTACAGTAAAGAGGGTGGGTTCAAGAAAACGTTCCTCTAGAAAACCTTTGAAATTTATGTTACTTCATCATTATCTGTTCCAATCAGATGTTCAATTATCTGTTTGTTCTAGGTGCGTTCCAGGACACCCTTCTGGCTAAAAGCCTGCACACTGGTACAGACAAGCCAGGGTACATTCTATGTAAACTCTACACCGAAGATACGCCAATATTAACTATAGATAGTATTGTAATTTACCAAACTCGCGTCGAAGATCTTCGGCGTATTGCACTTAAAATGCACCCGCCAGACTAGACAAGTGTAAAAGTAATTTGAAGACAGGTTTTATAATAAAGTTGTAGCTCACCATACTATAATTTTTGGGAAATTGTGATCCATCGCTGCCAAATGACTGCACAACTGCACTTTTTCCTACACTTGCTTCACCTACATTGTGAATCAATGTTATTTGAACATTTAGTTATTTAAGTACAGTACACTGCACTAGTGACTAGTATTCTATAGTATAGTATTCATTATTTGAAATTGAGGACATATCATGTTTTACAATTTGTTTTACATATATGCACCTATCGTGAGGAAGGTGTGTTATACAATAGATGCATGCATAATTTTCATATCCATGAGTAAATATAAATTAATTTCCAATAGTTTTACAGTATATACAAAACCGAGGAACACAGATACATCGTCTATATTGTTGCTACAGTAACATAAACATTTCGTTTTACAAGTGAATTTGTCGCAATATTTCACAAATTTGAGCACAACTAATAAAAATAATACATAGTACCAGCCACAATGGATTTTGCACGCAGGATAACCATTATTTTTTATGAAAATAAAACAAAAATTCACAACATTCTGTTTTTAAAATATACTCGTAAATATATTTTCTAATATATATATATTTATATTTTCTAATATTTTTTAGTATCGGTGGCAATCAGGCAATATATACCTCAGATAACACAACACTTTTAAATCTACAATTAAGACTAAGGGGCGGACCATTAGAAAACCAATGTGGGTGGGGACAAAAAATCGTGCAGAGGAAAGCAAGGAAAAGATGCCTTTAAAAATAACTTTAATAAGTTTATAATCTTATATATTATTAATATCAACTTATATATTAGCAATAGTAATTTAAAATTATTAGTAATTTTCATTCCGAACACACCAAAAGAGTAAAATCTAGCTATTATATCATACTTATTTTTACAGTAAAATCTAGCTATAAAACCATACTTAATAGACCCTTTTCATAAATGGCTGCCGATTAAAAATTCTTTTATGTGCATATAAATTGGCCCAACTAGCCTCGTTTCTGGGTAGAAATTCCTTTGAAATCTTAACATGAGTACGAGGCTAGTTGGGCCAATTTATATGCACATAAAATAATTTTTAATCGGTAGCCATTTATGAAAAGGGTCTATTTTACAGCAAAATCTACTCTAGCAGTCTAGCTGTTAACCACACTTACTTTCACAGTAAAATCTAGCTATTACATCATACTTATTTTTACAGTAAAATCTAGCTATAAAACCTTACTTAATCTTACAGTAAAAGCTAGCTATTATACCATACTTACTTTTACAGTATAATCTAGCTATTATACCATACTTACTTTTACAGTTAAATCTAGCCATTATACCTTACTTAATTTTACAGTAAAATCCAGCTATTATAACACACCTTGTACGTTTCAGTACAAAAAACACAACTAATGTAAAATAAACTAAAGTAAACAAAGTACGTAAAATGTAAAATACATCAAGGATGCAAGTCAATCCTTTCGTCTGAAATTCCACGACGCCAGTTCTCACTCCAGAAAGAAACAGAACTCACTGTGGAAGCGTGAGTTTAAAGTTTAAGCGCGGTTACATCTTGCAACTTGTCTCGCAGCAAAAGCGCAAGAAAAGTAAAGTAGTATAACATCACCTTAAAGGGATAAAGCGCCGTTTCATGTCTACAATAATCTTACTTATGCGCTTTCACCAGTGAGGAAAACACACCATCTTCATTGGCAAGTAACGCCTCCGGAGAATCCCATTCAATCAATCGTCCTTGATCCAACACCATGATCCGATCTGAATCTAGAATTGTGTCAATACGATGTGCTATCGTCAAGATGGTGAAATCTTTAAACGCACTTCGTACGACCTCCTGAATCAACTTATCCGTTTCTAAGTCGACGTTTGCTGTAGCCTCATCCATCACTAGTACCCGGGACTCTACCAAGAGTGCGCGGGCCAAGCAGAACAATTGACGCTGACCGACACTTAGATTCTCGCCACCTAAACACGGAAACGCAGACACCAGGATTAGGATTATTTGGATTAAGCGCCTTCACCTCTGAGATCGTGGGTTCGATTCTCGCTACGGACTCAGGGTTTTCTCCGGGTGCTCCGGTTTCCTCCCATAGAGAATGTTGACAGGGTGGGTTTGGATAAACACAGTTAATGGTAAGAAAAATGAAACTTCACCTTCGACAATGGCACCCTCCAATCCTCCGGACAAAACGGTAATGGCATTCTTCAGTTGAGCAACCTCGAGTGCGTGCCACAACGCGTCATCCTCGTGTACTCCATGCGGGTCCAGGTTAAACCTCACTGTGCCTTGGAACAGGATCGGGTCTTGGGGAATGATAGCCAATCGGGAACGCAGAGGTCGCAAAGACATCTGGGATATGTCTATACCATCTATCACAATCTGACCTTCGAAATGCTCCAACATTCGAAACAGGCCTAAAGTGATTGTTGATTTACCGCTGCCAGTACGACCGCAGACGCCAATCTTTTCACCAGCCTTAATGTTGACTGTCACGTCTTTGACCGCTGGGGGTAACTCGTGGGCGTAAGCGAGGGTTAAATCTTTCAAAACAATTTCACCTACACAGGAGAGAAAGAACGATAATTGTATAACAACAAGGGTTAATAAGCTAGCCACACCAAAGAAAAATACGGTTTCCTCCTGTAGTAACACTGGATCATTAAGAGATAACCCTTGCTGAACCACTAGGGAGAACAGTTTTGAATTGATAGAGTTATCCAGTATAAATAAAGTTAGTTTAGTTTAGGCTTCATTTTGTAGTGACACTGCATGGATCCATGGAGCCATCCTGTATTTGGAATGTCTTAAAAAGCGTACATTTCAGTTCCATATCTACATTATCAAACCTTTTTCCGGCCATTTCTCGCTGGGGGGGACATCGGTATCTTTCGGCGAAGGTTCGTTCTCGATACTGGAATAATGATCGACACGCTCAACCGCATTCATGCTCATCTCCATCTGAGTGGCCATGCGCACTACCCAGTTAAATACGTGAGCCACAGCGAGTGCATGTGTGAGAGCTAGACCCACAAGCCCGGGACTGATAGTGCCAGATAGGGCAGCGGCGACTGAGGAAACAGCTGCTAGAAACACAATCAAAGCGCCACCGTAATCCAGTCGCAATCCAATCCAACTGTTTGCCATTTGAGTGAAGATAAACGCAACATTGTTCTTATCAATGGCGTTCATAATTTCTAGTTGAAAACGTTCTTGTGAGCGGTATGCACGGATGGTTGAGAGACCTCCCAAGGTTTCAGACAGTTGCGCGTAGATCGGTGATTTACTGATGCTGTCCAAACGTTGAAGTTCGCGAGTACTGCGTCTAAAATAATAAGAAAAGTCAAGGAACGACATGTATACACTTGCAAGAATGTGATAGGTTGTGCGCCTCAAACAAAAATAAAAAACGTACCTGATGAAGCGTTGTACATAGTAGTAAATGATAATGAAAGGTAAAACGACAAGTAGGAAATACGGAGTAACGGCTGCCTGGACCACGAGAGCAGCTAACGCACTTAACATCGTGTTAATTAAATTCTGAGTCACCACTAGAACAAATAAAATATGTAGCAGGTTACTAAGCAATCTTTATTTCTACGTACCAGTGGATAACTCTATCAGTTTTAAACTTTTCTCCCTAAAGGTCCAGTAAGGACATCTCTTATTGATCCAATGTTACTACAGGAGGAAACCTTTTCTCACTGTTCTCCCTGGGGCAGTCAAACTAGCAGCACTCTTCTCACATGTGACTGGGAAAGTTATAATGAGAAAGTGTGAAACGCACGTGAACTATTAACTTACATGGAAGATGGCTATCAATGGCTGCAGTATCTGAAGACATTCTGTTCAACACACGACCGATAGGCGTTGTATCAAAAAACCTCATTGGTGCTTGGATGACACGTCTGAGCATTCGTATATGCAGAATTTTGGCCCCTCTAAGACAACACATAGCTATGGATATGGACTTGAAAAATGTCAACACGACGGCAGCAATAGAGAGAGATGTGTATCCGACCAAATAATAGTCCACATCATGGTCGGCGCTTGTATTACCACGAGGTCTATCCGACGACCAGATTGATAGCCACCAGTCAGCGCCGACAATGCCACCTGGAAATGAGATTATACCATTGGAACATAAGGTCAGGGGTAGAAAAAATCTTTGGTCCCAGAAACATTTTTTGGATGGAAAGAGAAAGAATGAAAGAAGGTATATGTAAAAGAATAAGTAAAAAAAAGAAGCGAACAAACAAATCAATAAGTGAACTGAGGGTGAAATGGATGGGCTAGATTGTATTGCAGATGTGAGGTCAACAAGGGCTTGAAGGAAAGGCTGGACAAATTTAATTAAACAACTAAAATAATGTATAGAACTGGTAAATAAATAAGGATATTTAGACTACTTGATCATGAATTCTGCTGCGTTTTATGTCCTTGCCTAGTTAGCCACATGTTAGAAATCACTTTCCTGTGGATAGCGCTATCCTGCATTCGCACAACCGACATCTGCCCTATAATAACAACAGTACCGGCTTACCATGCGCCGCCACAGCTAGGACTAAAACTATCACTGCATAAAGGTAACCACAAGCTCTAGCGTAAGAAAGATAAACCCGCAAAGTCACAGCGCCTTTCTCTCGTTCTTCTTTCGTCATCAATTTTCCTTTTTCGTTCTCTTCGTCGTTTTTCCCGGCTTCCTTGATCTCTTCCTTCACGGTATGACGTCGATCGTGGACTTCTTCAATCTCCTCTTCTTCCTGAAGCCAACAGAAAGTGATAGGTGAACAAAGAATGTTGAGCAAGGCCGTAGCGACCGGGTCCACGTCTATAGGCAATTCCAGCTTTTAGTTTATGCGTGCAGGGGACGATTGGAAGTAAGGTATCACATTGCTGATTAAGCTGAAAAAATAAAAATGGCGGCCGTGTAAACACGAAGTGATAGCTTACACTTGTAAATATTGAAATATTTCGGTTGCTTTGGTAGTTTTTATTGACATTTTTCAGCATAATCGGCAATATGATACCTTACTTCCCATCATCCCTTGCAGGCATGAACTAAAATTGGAATTGCCTATTCACATTAAAAATAACAATGCCAAAATGTTTTGTTGCATTTCCGGGCATTCTGAGAGTATTCAAAATTTTCTCGGGAACCATTCAGCCCCATACCCCATTGTGTCTACGTGTGCTTACCACATGCTGTTCTCGTTCGATAAATTGCTGGCGCGTGAGTATCAATGCTTTCTTCACATTATCAGATTTCTCATTATCAGATTTCTCAGCATTCTCCACATCTCTGAACGTACTGCATATGACAGCACGGCCATCCTTCATGACGATGACATTATCAGCCTTGGGCAGATACTGCAACTGATGTGTCACCAACACTACTGTACGACCCCGCTGGACAAGCATCTTCATGATCGCCTGTTCAAACACGTGTTGACCCACGTGCGCATCGAGTGCGGAGAGCGGGTCATCAAACATGACAAAATTCGCGCCAGAGTAAACTGCTCTTGCGACGCTGATCCGTTGTTTTTGACCGCCGCTGAGGTTGATCCCTTTTTCACCAATCTCCGTTTCATCTCCTAAGGATAAATAAATAAACCATTATTATTTTAGACAGCTGCGGATTTACTGTACATGAAAAATACAAGCAGAACTTTCGAGGGCCTTCGCTCGAAACGTCGAAGTTCTCCTTGTACTTTTCAGGTAGTTGTATCCCTATCAATCCCAAGCTTTCTCGTTATTGGCTGACTACCTATACTAGCACAGACTGTACAATTGTTTACCTGCAGGTAATATTTCCAAATCACTTTTCAAGGCACATGCCTCCAAGATGGCCTCGTAACGTTCACGGATGTAAGGCTGTCCAAAGAGAATATTGTTCTTTACTGTGTTATTCAACAGCCATGCTTTCTGCGCGGCGTAGGCGACTGAGATGTCATCAGCCCAGCACACTTGACCACCAACCGCTGTCATCTCGCCCAGTAAGGCATTGATCTGAATTAAATATGAAAAATATAATTACAACATTGGCGGTAAGAAACAGCCACACAAAACCATGATGTACACGATGTGTTCGCAACAGGCTTGTAGCAATCTTCTCAACATGGAAACTGTATCAATGTTGTTATTTTATGAATTAGCTACAAGGTTGTAACTCACAACTTGTTGACAGATTTGTGCCGGATTTGCTGGACGATCACAAGTTGTTGGAACAACTTGTAATAAGTCTGTTGAATCTTGTCGCAAGTGGTCAACAAGCAGGCCGGAACAAGCAGTGCGAACACATCCTGTTGACAAGTTGTGGGAACAGCATTGCTACAAGTCTGCTGCAAGTTTGTTACATTAAGTTCTGCGTTTTTATGCGTGTACGCTTCGTCTAGATGAATGATCCGTTGCCGCATTTTGCCCGAGTCTCTAAATGTATAAAATCGGGTAATTTATACATTACCAAAGAGGATTTTCCACTTCCAACAGGCCCCACAATCATCGTGAGTTTTTCTTTGGGTACATTAACATCTACGTTCGATATTGTTGGCTGGTCTGCTTCGGGGTCCCACGTGAAGCTGGCATCGTTGATAACAACTGCAATCCGTGGTGGAATACAGAAATCAGGATTAGCGCTCGACTTTTGTTTCGTATCATCTTTCTTCTTCTTCGCGGAGTCTTTAGAGAACTTCACACTAACTTCAATGGTAGGGCTACCTGGTGATCGTGGCGTGTCATCCTTGGTGGGTTTCAGCGGCACCATTTTGAATTCCTCCGGGCTCAGACTTTCTTCGTCTTCTTCGATGACACAGACGGGAGCTTCGTCTCGCAGGTGACTGATTTCAGGTGCAAGGAGGTAAGGAAGAAGACGCTTGGTGCTAACGCGTGCATTCACTACTGTACGGACCATCATTGGTAACAGGAAGAGGGGCACCTAGTTGGAGAAAAATAAACAGTCTGACTTTTCTACTATGGACATTTAAGGAACAGAGCTAAAGAAAAAAGGTTTTTAAAAGAAAATATATGAGAATTATTTAATTAAGCGTCCACACATTGGAAATTGTCTGTATTAGAGAGATGTCTGTTTTTAAGAGGGGTCGATATTAGAGAGATGTCCGTACTAGAGGGATGTCCATATTAGAGAGGTGTCTGTATAAAAATATCTCCATATTAGAGAGGCGTTCGCAATAGAGAGGTGTTCGTAGTAAAGAGCAAACAAAATAAAATGTCTAGATCTAGACATATTAGATAGATGTCCATGTTAGAAAGGGTCCGGATTAGAGAGGCTTCCATTGTTCACAAGTTAAATTGCAATGTGGGTGCATTGTGGGTCCTTACTTTGACATTCTACTCTCTCCATGAGAACCTAATATTGTTTCGTCATCACATGGGGTTTGGGCTTCCCCCAGTGGGTGCGAGATTTATCATTACAAATCAATTTATTTACACACCTTCATAAGATTAATCAGGGCTAACGATGCAAACGCCTTTGATGCAGTCAGCTCTTTACCAGACACCTTGACATAACTGACAAACATAACGAGAGCCACGATGGTTGTTGTACATGTAGTAATAAAAAACCCCAAAGCATACAGGAGAGCAGTTTTCACTTTGACAGAGACTTCACGAGTGCGTATTCTTTCAATCAGCTCACAAAACCATCCTTCCCATGCATAGAGCTTCAAAAGTTTCATTCCCTGCAGCATCTCATTTGTGTTCTTCAGACGCTCGTCACTTATACCTACAGTACGTTCAATAAACATACATAATTATAATAACCAATACATTACAACGTTTGAACTTTGTTTCAATGATTTGCAAATTCAGCATGGCATGGGGCTCATTACCAGACTTCTCTTTTTGCTAGTAAGAAAGCCTTTTTGCCAGTGAAATATTGAAAAAATAAGAAACAATAATTTTTATACAATACTGTACCTAAGCCTATCTTTTGAAACCGTCCCATCTTCGCTGCTAAAACATAGTTTATTGGGATAAGCACAAGCAACACAACAAAACCCAGTAATGCGGCAACACCAAGCTCATTTATGATAAGAATAAATGCAAGAATGAGTTGGAGAGGCGCTGCCCACAAATTGTGTAGGAAGGTCACTGACATACAAATGTTTTGAGTATCGGTTGAAATATGGTTCACAATTTGTCCCGAGTCCATTTTACCACCAGAAATTGTGAAACTGGAAAGATTTAGGCCTTTGTTGTAGATCATTACCTACGAATTTAGATAAAAATAATCAGCTAAAGTAGCTCGCATCTAAATTGCTAGCTCATGCAACTACCTGTAGTATCATTAATCTTCTTAACTAAATTAGTACAACATAAACTGTCCATAAATTGTGCTTGCATGTTTAATTTAACACAATATAATCTACACAATGGCTTACTCAATATTACCGTTGGCCAATACCAGACAATTTAACTTTTTCATGCAGCCATGCATGGGCACGGTTAACTCTATCATTGAATGGCAGCACTCCCCCCCCCCCCAAGTAAAATTGTCTGGCATTAGACACAGGGGTCGAAATTCCCGCTATTCCGAATATACTAAAATGTGTGACGGAATAGTAAACTTCATGATCACAGTATTCCGCTTGTATAGTAGAAAAAATTGTGGTACCAAATATCGGCAAGCAAGGGTTTTCCTGATCTTATAATATATCACTTTATACCGGACTTAGCTACTTCGCTTGCAGTACTTGCGTATTCTAATTTCTTTGCAGCAATATTATTGTCGAATTCAAGTCACTTTTCAATGCGCGGTTCCCAAGTTCGTTGCAAACTTGCCAATTTCGTTTCCAAGTTCGGAAATTGGGTGCAAACTTTGCAACAAACTTCGCAAGTTCATTTCAATGTTTGAACTTTGTTTTTTATTAATAATTTGTTCATCACTTACTGTACATGTTTATTTTTTGTTATAATTCAGTTATTCAGTTCACTTTAGGAATTTCAAGGATGATTTCATGAAAATCAGAAACAGTACATTAATTAAGGAATAGTGGATCTTCAGACAGATTATATAGTAAATATAAAAATCTACTATTCCGGCTGTATAGTACAAAAAAATTAAATTTTAGGGCAAAGTAGGGCGTATTGCCACTTAAAGGGTTAACAGGATGCCTAAAAGAGAGTCAAAGTAAAGTCCACAGAAAAGTTGGAAATTCTGATTAAGGTTACAGGACACCCTTTTTGGCGTTTTGCGGAAAATCGCTACTGCGCGCTCAATATCAGTCCGATTTTCATCAAATTTTCACCAAATGTTCTCCAGTGCATGCAAAATATGGTAAAGTTGTAAAATTAACAAACAATAAAATAATGTAAGAATTATTCAGGAAAATCTTAAATCGCGGTGCCGTTACGCTTTTGAGTTGTGCTCCTGCTGGTTTTAAGTTATATTTATGAAAATATCATTTTTATACAGTAAAATAGTTGTCCTAAAAAATTGTGTTCGGAAATTTTTGTTTATTTTGTCATTCCGCTGATATGGCGATTTCTTTGACGACTGCAATATATTTCTGAATTGTTTGAGTGAATTGCTCTTTATTTTTAAAATATCCAAAATTAAGAAAAAGCCGAACACAATTTTGAAACTGACGTCTTGAGCTATGTCCTCTGAAAATTTGAGAAAAATTGGTTAACACCCGCAGGAGCACAACTCGTTTGAAAATCAGTAATTACCGTAAACATTTTCGGGAGAAAATTGAATTTGAATATTACATTTTCAATGTTTTTCTTATTGCAGCGAAATGTATTTTATTAAATAACTCCGTGAGTTTTCAACATTTTTCGTTCAAACTTGGTCAGATAGTAGAACTAGTCTAATGCTTTCATGGAAACCAATAAAAATTTTTTAGACAAAATTAACACTCAAAGGTGTTCTGTAACCTTAACACATTTAGTGGCAGCACTCTCCCCTTGACAAAAAATCATATCTAGCATTAAACAGCGTAAAATAATAAAGCATCTGGGGCGCATTGCCACTTAGGGAAAGTACATTTATTATGCCGAGGGGGGGGGGATGAAGATGTTAAGGGGGGGCTCCGAAATATTTTCTGGCATTAAAGGGGGGGCTCTTCTTGATATACTGAAGGGGGGGCTCTAAACTTTTCAAAGGTTTGACCCCAACAAATTAAAGTTAAAATTTTTACATCAGTTTCAGGTAAAATTTGCGTAATAAAGTAATTATTTTTGTGAAATGATAACCATTTTTGTAAAATACAGTCAATTTACGTGCAATTTGTTTGCGAAATTAGCTTTAGAAAATGCCAGAAATTCAGTCCTAGAGCTTCGAAAATGTAAAAATTTTCTGGGGGAGGACCCCCAGACCCCCCTTTTCTCCCAAAACTTAGTATAAGAGTGCCAATCAATCACAAAAAGCTTTATTATAATTATTACACGTATAATCCTCTGACATCCCCCCACCCAAACGTCAGATGCTTTGCTACGTCCCTGATGGTTGTATTCGAAACCGATTTCAGTTTTAAGATATCCTTAGTCTGCTCTTCTAAATGGATACATGAAATCACCTATAGCTTATTGGCGCCAGGTTTGTGAAGTAATTTACGCGCCAAAAAGTAGCAGTTCCAAAAACAAAAAAGCATATACGATTTGCAAGAATGATATGTTCTATGTTTATGGGATATTTCGTACAAACGGGATGGAAATTAAAGAAATTGAAGCATACTGGCACTTTTGCATGCATTTTTGACCGGCATACAAAGACATTCGCAACAGATGCCGGGAGATATACGTTGGGTGGGGGCGACATACTTGTAAGGTTCCAGCACATTACCCTGATCCAGGAAATCCTGGCCACTACATGAACGTGTTCAAGACTCCGAATACGCTGAATGATGGACAACAACAACCTGTTGATAATTTCACCCCTAGAGCCAATTTAAAATGTTTTAAAGACGGTGCCATTTCATCTGGTGCTAGTGAGGTGAAAGAAGCAGCAGATCGGTAGTTTTGTTGAGGAGAAGCACATGCTTGAGTATATCAGACATCTTGAGGAACTGCAAATTGTATCTATGATAAGAGAGAATTCTGGATTATACTCCTTCGATTCCAAATTCTAGAGGGGGGGGGGGCATTGAAAATTTTAAAAACTTGGAGGGGGGCATCGAAATTTACCGATAACCTCAACAGGGGCCCTGTAAAAATATGAGCTTTTTTCAAGACATCTTCATCCCCCTCCCTCGGTGTAATAAATGTACTTTCCCTTATAGGCAAACTTTACTTTCTCACCTGAAGAGATGCTCTTAAATTCATAGCAAAACGAAGTAAAAGGTAATAATATTGCTGTGTCAAAGTGCTTGATCCGATGTTTCCAAATAATATCACTACAGCCAAAACAAAACCATTGCCGAAAAAGTCTGACATGGACATTGTTACATCATCTGCTATTTGAGACTTTGAATCATCACTGTCTGACTTCAAAGTTTCTTCAACATAAGCAACAATTTGTTTTAAACACAACGGACCAATGAAACTTAACAAATCTCCAACAAAACGGCATGCAGCTGCCATTAGGATGATACGTTTGTATGTGATGAAGAAAGCGCGCCAAAGAGATGGGGTGGTATTCTTCGAAGCAGCTCGGACTATTTCCTTCTTCCAAACTTTGATAAACTTTTTGTGGTTAAGCTCGGCTTTGTCAATCGGTGGTAACTCGCCTAAATCTTCAGGTTCAAGAGGTCGACTGCTGCCAAGCTTTAACATATCATACATCCACGAGAACGTACAACGGGACAAAAAGTTTGCAAAATCATGTACAAATTTAATGTGGCCAGCTTGGAATTCTTGACAAGCATCCCCTCCAACTTCACTTTCATTAGCTCTGCTCCATGAGGAATATTGTGACCGTTTAGGAAGATGTGAGAAAATTACTCGTCTCTCGACTATCAGCAACAGTGAGTAAAATACCAGGATGCAAACATTTGTAGCCAAACGGATATCATATGGTCCTTCAACTTGGTACAATTGTACAAACTTCACAGTCCATACTATTACACTACTCAACCAATACACAAACAGAATTGATAGCTTTTTGACTGGAGAGATCTGACTGACTTCGACAATATCATAATAGATGATTGCAAGTATCAAACATACAAACGAGAACATATTGGGTAGATACAAGTGTAACGGTGTTGTTGTAATCCGTTCTTGGAGCATAAAACCTTCGCCGATCTTGGCCAGATAAGATAATAACAGTAGGATAGTTAGCATCCATCGCAAAGAGTGATGTTTGAATCTCACACAAGATTGCCCAAAAACCTCCGATTTTCCACGCAAAATGAGCACCAAAGCTGGTATCAATATAAACAAAACTATAGCAGTTGGTATTAGGAGTAAAGTATCGACAAAACAGCTCGTAAGATCGCCATTTTCACGGATTTTCAAACGACTCCCTGAACACCAGGTTACCGCCATGACGCGCGTGTGTGGCAATACTGCCTTGGTTAATTTGCCTCCTTCGAACGCCTCGAGTTATTTTCATGACCTCATACGAAGATAATACTGTAAGTACTAGCCAACAATTTCCGAAAGTGAAACTATAATAAATCTCCAACGCTCCCTTACAAATGATCTGTTTTTCCCTAGGTATCCCCTACACTCTACAAAACGCAATAATTCTCCACCGTAGCCCGTAGGGGGATTCCCCTTGCCTTGTTGGATGCAATCTCGTTCCCCGAGCATGCCCGTTCGCAGGTTAAGGGTGGGCATAGCTCTGGATTCAGGCCGCTGATTGGCTAGCGGCAGATAGCACGTTGGATTTCCAACGTGGGCTCTACGCATGCTTAGCAATTGTTGCAAAATATAAACAAAGTATTTAGAATTTCTCGTCGAAAATTTGCTACTTTTTACACTGAAAT